GAATTTGCTCTAGCTGCTGATCCTTGCAACTCTTTCATCATCAAAAGGTAAATCCCCAAAATCAAAGTAAAGCTCTGACTGTTCATGGTTTAGACAACTAAAAATGAGAAAACCTGCCAAGCTTTTGAAAATAGATTTTTTTAGAAATGACATCATTCAGAGCCCATGACATTTAAGATGTCCTTACATTGAATTTTTACCAGATTCTGAAAGAACTTTTTTCAACTCATTTTCTGAGCCAAAAGGTCAATGAAATCACAGCCACAAAGCAGGATAGGCCTACGACCAAGTAACAGCAAGCTGCCTGCACTGGATTACAGAAGAGTACTCATGAAAGTGGAGATCTCTTCTCAAATTCTTAGTACCAAACTATCAAGTTTTTCTAGTTCTGGTATCCATCTTCACCAAGTTGTAGATAAAGCTGAGGAAAACTCGAAGTCAATCCAGAACTATGGATTCACACTTCATCAGCCCTAGGCCAATGGCTGCCATAGGCCCTCTCCCGTGACTCCAAGGCCAAGATCAGATGTTGGGGCCCCCAAGCCAGTGAAAGCTCTGGTCCTAACCTGCCTTCTCAGAGGAAGAATACGAACTTGAGCAGCATAGGAAATAAATGATTTTGTGCTTCAAAGAAATTATCCAGATTTCTCACAGTGAACTTTTAGAAACACCTCCATTATTTGAAGGATTAGAAAAATCAATAAAATGTGACAAAAATCGGATACATCTACAACTGACAAAATTATGTCCTAGCCTTTGGACCAAGAGACCCACACCTCATCTCTCCAAATGGAAATTAACTATACAACCAATAGTTCCTGCACACTAAAACCTAACTGTGAAGCAGTCAAAATTCAACTGCAGTCAGCAGTTGTCCTGATGGGTCCCCAGGGTGCCCCCTCCTCAGGCCCGGGGTGCCCCTGCTCACCAGACAGGCCCCCCATGCCCACCCTGCAGCCCAGCAGACCCTCTCCCACACTCCTGCCCCTCCCTGTCTGCGGTTGAGTTGGATTGCTTTTCATCTCTGGGGCCAGACTCAAAGACCTTCCAGCCAGCCCTGCCCTGTGATCCAGAAGATCGTGGCTGGACTCCCAGTCAGGGCACACGCCCAGGTTGTGGGCTGGATCCCGAATGGGGAGCCTGCGGGAGGCAGCCGATCAATGACTCTCATCATTGATGTTTCTATCTCTCTCCCTCTCCCTTCCTCTCTCTGAGACCAATAAAGAAAGATATACATATTTTTAAAAAATCTGCCTAAGAATAGGCTCCTTCTTCCAACCCTTCTGGTGAGGATAGAATTAAGGGAAATAAGAGTTTCACACAAGTTTGGCAAGATTGCCACCAGTGGTTACTACTAACCACAGCCTAGGGCCCAGAATCCAAAGGAAACAGTCGTATCAGCAAGAGCTATGGCAAAAATGTTCCTCAAATTAGAATCCTCCTAAAGCCCCAAATCTTGACATTTTACAAGCCTCTTCCTTCCAGCAGCAATATAAATGAGAAGGAATTATTCCTAAATCCTGCAGATACTACTTTTGCCCAAGTGAAAGTGGTTCCAAACTTAGAATTGCATTAGAATCAACAAAAGATAGCTCTGAGGGGCTTGACCGCCTGATTGAAATACACCTTGTCAGGCTACCTACCAGGCAAGATGGATGGCGGAAGAGCCAAACACTGTGCTCACCTCCCATGACATCAAAATTACAGCTAGATTATAGGACAACTGCCCTTGAGAACCACCTGAAGACTAGTTGAGCAGAAATGTCCTAAATGAAAGAATAAGAGAAATCTCC